TGTGTGTGTGTGTGTGTGTGTGTGTGTGTATCAGGAAGTGGAGAAAGAGTGCCGGTGCGGGAAATACAGGAAGCTGATGGCGTGTCACAAAGAATATTTATGTGAGTCCAAATGTTCAAAAAGCAGAAGCTGCCAGAAACATCCATGTCGGAGGAAGGTGAGTCACCATGCCGGTGCCCGTCTGCACCCCCCCGTCCCCCTCCCGCTAACCCCCGTTTCCCTCCTGACTTTTGTGTCAGTGTTGCCCTGGCAACTGCCCTCCGTGTGACCAGATCTGCGCTCGGACTCTGGGATGTCGCAACCACAAATGTCCGTCCGTGTGTCACCGAGGTAACGCACATTTACTTTGATGTACAGTATGTGTGCGTGCATGCGTGTGTCTGATGGGTCTTCTCGCACCGCCAGGAAGTTGTTATCCCTGTCCAGAGACGGTGGACGTCCGTTGCTCGTGCGGCGCCGCCTCCCTGACGGTGCCGTGTGGACGCGAGCGGAGCACCAAGCCACCTCGCTGCAAGGAGCTCTGCAGGTACGCACGCCTCCTGTTACAGTAGCCGTCTTTTTCCTCCTTCTGGGCGAGCTTGTATTTAGACGCGGACGGGTAGCAAGTTAACAAGTGCAAAAATGTATACGGTGTCATGGGTGCGTCAACTCGGCTGTCGTCACCCTCCGCACCATCCACAACCAATTTGAATTTGTTGGACGCCCGCCGCAGGGCTCCATCATCCTGCCACCACGCAGCTCGAGAGCGCCACCGCTGCCACGCCGGGCCCTGCCCACCCTGCGCGCAGCCCTGCGTGCTGCCTCTGGCGGGCTGCCCGCACACGTGCCCGCAGCCTTGCCACGATCACGTTCTGCTCAAGTCCCAGCAGGTAACGCACACGTCCTTCCCTTCTGGAATGATCTCTGTCGACTTGTGGCGCGCTTCTCATCCGGACCGTTTCTGCTGATGGGGTGTGTCAGGTGCAGCTGTCCGGGCCGTGGGAACAGCCGTCAGAACCGGCCTTTGTGACCAAGGCCCTGCCCTGTCCCCCATGTCAAGTGCCGATACCAGTGTATGACATCCGTGTGCAGACACAACACAAACACACGGCCAATTTTTCACTCACATATCCAGGTTTTGACTATCTCTCTCTCTCGCTCTCCTCCAGCTCCTGTTTTGGAGAACACGAGGTAAGAACGTTTCTTTGGCACGCTTTGTCGATGTGGCTCGGTGATATCGCGATGACAAAATTTGCGATGTGCTTCAGGTGAGCGAGGTGCCGTGTTGCCGCCAGGGCCGCTTCTCCTGCAAGAGGCCGTGCGGCCGACCGCTGAGTTGCGGGAACCACACGTGCGGCAGAGAGTGCCACCTCCTGGACGACAGCAACAAGGTACAACGGCCGTGACGTCCCCGCCATATTGAATGCGCCAGATCGAGCCG